CGGGCCGGGGCCCCGACCCCCCGCCCCCGCCATCGGCAGGCGGACTCTCAGCCACTGCGCCACCAGGGAAGCCCCCAAACTTCTCATTATTAAGTCAAATAAATATGCCTTGGCTCTCCCAAAGTATTTGCCATAAACACTATTGAGAACTCCTCCCTCCCTCTTGAAATTCTCTTCTCTTTCACGGGTATCTGTGACAATATCTTCTTTTGAATTTTCTCCTACCTCTGACTGCTCCTTCAACAGGGATCCTGATTTCAGTGTTCTTATCCTTTCGATGATGATGTTCCTAAGGTTTCTTCTGCATCCATTTCTTATTAATGCCCAAATACTCGCTGATATTGTCCAAATCTATTATCTACAGACTCAAAGTATCTCCTGAGCCGGAAGCCTTAATTTTCAGCTACCCACAAGGCATCTCCACCTGGATATCTCACAGGCATCTCAAACACAAGTTTTCATGTTCTTTCATATCCCGTCTGTGTGTGTGGCACCCAACTGCCCCCGCTAGAGACCTGTACCACCTCTCTTCCCATCCTTCCCACTCTCTATATCCCTTTTGCCTTTTTTTTAATATATTAGTATATATATCTGTCACCATATATTAGTTTTTGCCTCATCATTCTTTTTCATTGATGAGTAGTATTCCACTGTTTAAATATATCATAATTTCTCTATGTATTGGTGGACAATTGAGTTGTTCTCAGTGTCGGATTATTATGAACTCCAAACATTTTAATGCCATATTTTGTGGACATAGATTTTTTTTTTTTTTTTTTTTGCATGAATACCTAGGAGAGGAATTCCTATGGTTAACTTAAGAAAAACTGCCTAAATGCTTCCAACCACACATCTCCATACTTGGCAACATTTGGTGTCGTAATTTTTTTTTTATTTTAGTCATTCTAGCATATGTTAAGTGGTGTTTCACGGTGCCTCCGAGTCTCATATTCTTCTTGACTGTTGATGTTGAGCACCTTTTCAATGTGATTATTGGCATTTGTGTACCTTCGTTTGTAAAATATACCATTTATTTTAACCATTCAAAAAATTGAGTTGTCTTTTTATTATTTCTTTGCAAGAGTTACTCAGAATATAAGTTCTTTGCCAGATATGTAACTTTTCGAGTCTTTGGCTTAACTTTTTGTTTTCTTAATGATGTCTCTGAAGTGCAGAAAATCATCATTTATCATCCTTCTTTTCCTTAGGCCCTTTAGATTTATCTTTAATAAATAAATTAAGGCAAAGGATTCCAGTTTACCTGGGAGAAGCTTCCTCCTTATCTTTGAGAGTCAATTGACATAACGGGATGTGTAATCACTGATGTTCTTCTTTGTTTTCCCCCATAAGCTTAGGAGCAACTTGAGAGCAGGGGTTGTACTTTATGGAGTGCTTTATATATAGTAGTAGAATGCCTAGCAAGTAGCAGAAGCTCAAGAACTATTTGTTACCCAAATATGTTGAAAATTGGAAGAGTCAATTCAATTTCATCAATTAACTTCTCTACGCATCATCTTCTCTTCCTAAAAACAAGGAAAACTCCCCACTTACCTCAAAAGCATGTACAAGCAATGAAAGCTTTATGAGGTTGTGAATGGAGCTTTTTTGGTCCCTTACGTGTACATCAGTAAGCAGCCTGTGAATATATACTTTTCATAGATTTTATATTATTGTTATTATTAATATTATTTCATGAATCCTGATTTTCACTTGAAAAGCTGTATATGTAATTCTTTATTTTTTAGTATAACTCTTAATACATCACATGCCCCTCATCAAATGCTGGGACATCTTGAACCAAAGAAAAATATGACTAGTCAGAATAGAGACACAAGGGTTTGCCAGTTGACTTGATCATGTCAGAGTGATCAGCTTTTTTTATCCTAGTGAGGTTCACTAATGTCTAAAACCCTAAGGATTACATCAAAATGACAATGTTATCATTCAATCTGTCCAAGAAATTAGACCTTAATGAATTCCACTGAGAACTCCAACTTGATAATGAGAGCTAAGAAGTCATAACACTATTCTGATAGGAAGGCACAGTTAAAGAAATTTGAAAAGCACCAGAAATACATGAAACTGATGGGCTAATTGAGGGAGCAAAGTGCAATCTTCTCCTGGCAGGAAGCCACAGAACGGAGAAGCCCCTGCCCAGTGAACAATGAGACACAATCAAACGGCATTCAGTGCATGATGAATTAAGCATCTGAGAGCAGAGTGACTTTTTCCATAGCAACAAAGCCTCAGAAAGTTCAGAATGTTATTGGCCAGAGTCTTGTACTGTTCTTCCAGGGCTACATCAATCCTCACCCTGGATGATTAAAAGTGCCAGAAGCAAGTGTGATATTCGGATATTCAAGTTAAATGATAAATGTGCACAGAATGAATAGAAAATATAGTTACATGTGTAAATAGCCAGAATGTTCAATTTCCAAATATGCAAAGTATATCATTTAGAAACTAACTGAAACGGAAGTTTTAAGGATTTGACGCTTACTCAGCATTGCCTCATAAAAGAATGTATCCATTATCCAATCTCTGCTTTTGAAAGAGTTGGTTCTGTTAGGGGGTTGTGAAAGGGTCCAAATCTTTCTCTCTAGTCAAGGCTTTATGCTGCTAACAGGAGTGTGAAAGAATCTTTCTCAATGGCCAAGATCCCTGAAAGAACAGAGGTATGAAACTGGCCCTGGCACAGAAGCACCGAAGAAATGCAGCGCCTTGTAGAAAGTGAAGAATAAGCACGTCACTGTCAGCCTGTGACCACTCTGTCACCATCCATGGAGACCGAACCATGACCTGGTTTTTGTTGCCTTCAGCCACTTCTAAATATTGTCCATATTCTCAAACTTCATCCAAAACAGACTTGAAATTCTTCTCTCATAAGGTTTTGATCATGATTGAAGTGCAATGAACAGGCAGTTAGAATTCTGGTTGCAAAGAATTTAAGTTGAAAGCAGAAATTATGTCTTACCTGTAATACCTTGTGTGCCGAGAATAACTCCTGGTTGGATGACTAGTGGGTGAATGAATAGGAGGCCTAAAAATGAAATGGAAAATTTACAGAACTGTTGGAGTTGAAAGGCTACATTTAGGAAATGAAAGAAGCAAACCCCATAGCTGAATTAAAACTCGATGACACATTGAGCTACTGATCAAAGAGAGAATTTATTCACGGAGCTTTTCAAATACAAACAGAATAGCACGCTTTTATTTTTTACAAAATGAATATTGGAATAAATGTGGTACAGCACAGTACAATAATGGATGAAAGAAAACAAGATCTAGTGACTGGAAAATGTCTCTGATTACTCTCATATCTTCAACTGGATTCTCTCCTACAGTGGACAGAAAGTTGCCCCTTTACTTCGTAAGAATACCACAGCAGAAGCTACTCAGAGAGATATTGCATATTTTTTGAATAATATTGAAATACAAAGGCTTAATTCTAAAGATCTGCATAAACACTGAAAACACGCTGAGGGCATAAAGAGTTTATGCAGAGTATACAAAATACTGATAGAGTGGCTTATTGGTCCATTTATTAGGTTGAATGTATACTTTATAAAGTGATAATATGGTATTTTAAATGTGTATTAAAAAGAAAACAGAGGAGTAATGCACTGCCAAACCTCTCATACAGACTGTGCAACAATTTAAATGTCTGTGTATGGGCATGTGTGTGGATGCATACATCTGTATGTGCTCGTGTGCTTTCAGAAGTGCCATGACTTACTGGGAACGTCTGTGCGTTACCCTGCTTCCCAACCTAATACTGTTTCCGCTAGCCCTTTTGATTCTCTGAGTCGTCATCCTTAAAAAAAAAAAAATCCTTGTTTGCTGCATATATAGGTTTGTTTTGTGTATGTGTGTGTTCTGCATCAACAATACGCTGTGGAATAGAAACACCCAACACCCTGCAATATTTTTAGCCTTTGGTCCATTTTTCTCTATCATTCCATGCTCTACGTTTCTTTCACAAATCTTGCACAACCCTTCCACATGGTATAATGTTTTTAATTCCACTGGGTTTCATTTCATTAGTGTTGTATGGTTTAGAACCACTATTCCACCTTTGGAGAATAGCTGGATGCTTCAGTCCCTCCCAGCCCCTTCAGCCCACCTTCTCCTCTGTTTGCTCTTGGTGGCTCCATCTCAGTACGGGTACTGTTTCTGTTTCTTGCCTGAGAAGCAAGCCAGCCATGTGCATAGCAGCATGGCGGTGGCAGCACCTGCTCCCGTGCAGTAGTAGGCCCAACCGATTTCACACTTACCTAGGGACACAAGAGAAGGAGAGAAAGCAGGCACAGATCAGGATGATTTTACAGGAGGTTCTGTCATTTCTCCCAGCGTGTGTGTTCCTGGTGCACCACAGTGAAACTGAAATACTCATTAGAAATGTGACACTCACTCAACTGGAATGATAACAAGGGATGAAACTTATCCCATGATGGAAGAAAGCCGGAACAGTTGTGTGCATTTCAGAAGGACCTCAAGGCCCATGTCTCCTGCTAGCTAGCGACAGAAACCTTTTCTCCCCAACTGCGATGCTCACTCCCGTGGCTGAAGAAAAGGAGGAATAACAGCAATCAGGGTAAGAGAGATGAAGGTATTAGTTCTGATTTAAATCACCCAAACTCATATGCATAATGAGGTACCTTAGAAAAAAATTCAAAATATAGGTAAGTCCTAAATATAGATACAGTTTCTGCAAAAGGGCCACTCTAAGGAGGAGGTCCCTTTGAAGAATAATGCTAAAGTGAAAGAATCTACCAAAAACCTCCTGGAACTACTAAGTGACAACAGAAATGTTGCAGGATACAAGGGTAATATATAAAATTCAATTGCTTCCTATATACCAGTAATGAACAAGTGGGATTTGAAATTAAAAACACAATACTATTTATATTAGCATCCCGCAAAATGAAATAAGTAAATAAAAATCTGACAAAACAGTACAAGGTCTTTATGAGGAGAACTATAAAACTGATGAATGAAATCAAAGAACTAAATAAATGAAGAGATATTCCATGTTCATGGGTAGGAAGGCTCAATACTGTCAAGATGTCAGTTCCTCCCAATTTGATCTACAGATTCAATGTAACTCTAATCAAAATTCCAGAAAGTTGTTGTGTGGGTATCAGCAAACTTATTCTAAAGTTCATATGGAGAAACAAAAGACCCAGAATAACCAACACAATGTTGAAGGAGAGAAAAGTTAGAGGACTGACACTACCCGAATTCAGGACTTACTATAAATCTCCAGTAGTCAAGACAGTGTGATATCGGTGAAAAAATAGACAAGTAGACTAATGCAACAGAATAGACAGCCCAGAAGCAGACCCACATAAATGTAGTTAACTGATCTTTAACAAAGGAACAAAGGCAGTACAATGAAGCAAAGACAGTATTTTCAATAAATGGTGCTGGAACAACTGGACATCTACATGCAAAAAAGGGAAATTGGACACAGACCTTACACCCTTCACGAAAATCAACTAAAAATGGAGCACAGGCTGAAATGTAAAACGTAAAACTATGAAAATCCTAGAAGATAACATACGAGAAAATCTAGATGCCCTTGGGTATGGTAATGACTCTAGGTATAACACAATCCATGAAAGAACTAACTGATAAGCTGAACTTCATTAAAATTAAAAAAAACTTCTGCTCTGTGACAATGTCAAGAGAATGAAAAAACAAACTGCAGACTGAGAGAAAAATGTGCAAAAGACACATCTGATAAAGGACTGTTATCCAAAATATACAAACACTTAAAACTCAACAATAAGAAAACAGACCTGATTAAAAAATGGGCCAAACACCTCAGACCACAGACACCTTACCAAAGAAGATATACAGATGGCAGATAAGCATATGAAAAGACACTCCACATCATGTCATCAGGGAAATGCAAATTAAAATGACAATGATATGCCACTACATACCTATTAGAATGGCCAAAATCTGGAACACGGACACCACCAAATGTTGGCGAGGAAGTGGAGCAACAGGAACTCTCATACATTGGTGGTAAGAATGTGAAATGTTACAACCATTTTAGAAGACAGTATGGTGGTTTCTCAGAAAACTAAACAGACTCTTACCATACAATCCAGCAGTTGCATTCCTTGGTGTTTACCTAAAGGAGCTGAAAACGTGTGTCCACACAAACATCTGCACCTGGATATTTATAGCATCTTTATCCACGACTGCCAAAACTTTGAAGCAATGGAGGTGCCTTTCCGAGTCAGGACTCAAATCTGGGTACCAGGTTCTAAGAATAAGAACTCACTGACCCAAAACATCCTACTTGAATTAGTGGGATAGTTTTCCACATTCATTAATCCTTTTTTTAAAAACAACATTCGAGTTATTCTTTTTGCATGTACAGTAAGGAAGTCCTCTATATCTCTCATTCAACATTGTCTTTTCTGCCCTAATTGAATCCCCTTTTTAGTCAGTCTTAAGAAAATCAGAAATCAGACAATGCTCCAACAACAACCATTTTCTCCCTTTTCTTTTGTTTTTGTTTATCCATTACATTAGCTAAAACACATACAACCAGATGCTTGGATTTCACAGTCACTGAACACACAAACCACAGTTTGAAAACCATATCTTTTTTTTACATGTCAGTCATTTTTACCTTGTTCATTAATAACTTCTCTATTGAAAACTACAAAGACTGTTAGGTGTAGCAGGCAATTTGACTTCCTATCTTCACTGAAGTCTCCTGAAGCGGTAGTTAGCATGTGCCCCATTTACAGATAAGAAGGTGAGGTGAGGCAAAGCTTGAGTCATTGGCTTGTAGTCACCATAAGTCGATAGCAACAAAATCAGACCAAGAGCCTCCACATCTTAAAAGTACTCTAGGGCACTACCTATGTACCAGACAGTAGGATACGTTCAGCCTGCAACTTTGATTTCTCCCTCTCCATATCCAATAATAAATAATAACAATTAAGAAACAGCAAACACAGATTGATTACTATTTGCTCTGAATTGTAGAACAGCTTTCGTGGAGCAAATATTAATACATTTAATCCTCATAAGAACACGACGTGGTAGGTACCTGAGTATCATCCCCACCATTCGCATGGGGACACTAAGGCCAAGGAAAGTTCAGTAACCTGCCCAAGGACTCACCTGTAGAGTAAGTGACGAGTCCTTTGCATCTCTCTCCACAATTTATTCTGTGTGCCTCCACTCCTCAAGTGCCTACAGCAACCCCCGGCAGTCTTACCTGCTGTCATTGCTTTCCTGTCTCCCTGCTTTTATTTATAGAATCATCAACAGCAAAGAGGGCAGCTATCTTTTCAAAAATCAATCATGTTAAGTCGCTCTCTTACTTAAAATCCTTTAATGATTTCTCACACATGCAATCTCCTTCCAAAGGCTTGTGAGCCCCTGAATGAGCTGGCATCTGCCTACTTCTCAGACCTCACGACCACCTTCCCTCTTGTCTTCTTTCTGGCCATACTGGCTGTCTTCTCTGGACCACATCAGGCTTGTTATTGGCTCCAGTACTCCTCACTCATTATTCCTTCCACCCAAAAAATTCTACTTCCAGATCCTTAGAGAGCTGGAGCTTTCTCAGATGGAATCTACCTGCCCTCCCCGCAACTTGTCTCATCAAAGTCACTCTATTCCTTCACCTCACTTTACTGCCTTTGTAGCACTTGCCATGGTTTGTAAATATTGTGTGCGCGTGTGTTTAACTTCAGTCTATCCCACTAGAATGAAAGTTTCAATTTGGGGAGACCTTTGTATATTTTGTTCCCTACTGTACCCCTACAACAGTGCCTGGCTCACAGTAGGCACTCAGTAAATAAATGCTGAATGAAAGACAAGGTAAAAGAGAGAGAGAAAGAAAGGAAACAAAGTAGGCAGACAGTTAGTCTTTCAATAATAAAGTATGGGATTTTAAGAGTAACTCCAGTCTTATTTGACACAGAACTTCTGGAGAGAAGTTCCCAAACCAACTGTGCATTTATAGCTTTGTACAGAGTGTGTTCAATTTAAAAGGACAATAGATCCTGAAAGAGCACATCTCCACCCCAGGCTGGGTCTCACTGGCACAACGACCTCCATTAATACTGACAGATAGAATCAGTCTTTTCAAGGGTAACAGAGTCTCCTTCACGGACCAGATTTTCTGATAACCATAGGCTAATGTGGCTGTGAGTCTTGGGAATAATCTCCATTTTGAATTATTCTTTAGCTGGACTAAACGAATCTAGGAGGGAGAATTAATAGGTAGCTCAGAGATGGCAGGTGGTTTAGAACCAAAAAGTCAGCAAAATCTGTGGTCAGTCTATTCAGTACAAGGCTCATAACACAGAACACAATCAGTTGTTCATTAATAATAAGGTGTTGATCTTCCACGACCTAACATGAAAAGTGGAGTACATAATTCTTTATTAATTACTGGACACTCACTCAAGAAAAAGTAGTTGGTGAGGCTATTTAATAGTAGTGTATGTGGGCTTCCCTGGTGGCGCAGTGGTTGAGAATCTGCCTGCCAATGCAGGGGACACGGGTTCGAGCCCTGGTCTGGGAAGATCCCACATGCCACGGAGCAACTAGGCCCGTGAGCCACAACTACTGAGCCGGTGCGTCTGGAGCCTGTGCTCCGCAACAAGAGAGGCCACGACAGTGAGCGGCCCGCGCACCGCGATGAAGAGTGGCCCCCGCTCGCCACAACTAGAGAAAGCCCACGCACAGAAATGAACTCCTATCCCCAACATCTTCTTTAAAAAAAAAAAAAATAAGTGTATGTAACAGCAGCCACGTGTGTTAAATAAAGATTAAAAAAAAAAAAAAAGCTACTAAAGCATTGACTATCAGAGAACCCAGGAAAGACAGTATAACTTCTCTCCTCTAGAAAAGTCAATAAAATAGCGTAAGTTTAAATCTTAGGGGCTCTGAACTGGCAGGGTTGCTGTAGCAGATGGTGCAGATGCTCCACCCAATTCCTTTGGATCCCTTTGCTGGTTCTGGGCTCTCATCCATCAGCTACTGACTGTACTTTGCTCCTAACAGCTTATACTTGCAACCGTCTTCAGAGGACCCGTGAGCTGGGAGGCCACTTTGCTCCAACTCTCAGAAAGTTGACGTACCCCTGGCGGGACTGGTAGCCACTGACGGGCTGGTGCAGGAGTCTGAAAGCCCTCCTTCTTGCCTCCAGGTGGGACAAACTCTGCTGTGGCATGAATGTTCCAGAGCTCGTAAGAGTCCAGACTGAGGCTGGGACCTCACCTGAAATTGCACC